AATGATTTCCAAAACTCCCGCCACCGCATCCAACCGATCACAAAACAGTGCGAAAACATGGCGAGGGAGAAGGGCCGCACACTTCCGGTGCTTTAAGACCACACTTCAAAAACTTTTGTTGTCGCAGCATGATTATGCATCATAAGCACAGATCAATCACATGGGCCTCGGCTGTGTACAATGACGCGCTGGAAACCAGGGGCAAATATGACCAGCTAGATTAGGCCCTAATACCACAACTAGAAGAAAGGTCAAATCAGCACCCTTCCTGTCGCTGGAGGAGAGCGAGACTCGCTGAGGATTGTACATTTGCCCGACGACCCAGATGAATGGAGAATACGAAAGATAAGCACTTCATTCCGATCGCACCCGGAACAGAGGGACTCCAGAGACGAGCATTAATGTCAACGTTGGATGACGTTCTCTTTTCAGAACTACGAAGACTGGGAATCCAGAATGAGCCCTTCTTTCCAGTTTGTCTGGCCTTTGTTGACAAGCACAGAGCTGACTGTTCCCAAGTCCACTCAGAATTCTGTGTATTGGCATCGTTTTTCCAGCCGCAGAATTCACCGTCGTCGAAGGTGCAAACTGCGATCGGTTTTGGCGGAGCCACTAGCAAGTTGAGGGCGGAAAAGGAGAGAAATAGGCCTCAGTAGGGTGGAAAAATGACCGAGTAGACAATTAAAAAGGAAGATGCACTGAGTGGTGTAATATTTAACTGTACCTGGTACAGTGTTTAAGTTTGCCTTCACACAACCTCAAAGGCACATCTTGACGCAACTTGGGCCGTCTCATGACTGTATCACAATGCTTCCAATGTAGAGGGAAAACTCAACACGAGGAATGAACAAGAGACAGGCTGTTGCCAGAAGCACCTGAAACCTGATAATGTGGAAGCTGCAAAGACACTAGACTTTGGGCAACTTTGATCTTCACAGTCCTAATAACCGATTTTCCCACTATACTAAGAAAGGGAATTAATTGAGAAGAAAATGCGATAGTAAGCACCCTTCTTGACGCTGAAGTAAAGCGAGAGTGATGGGAGAGCCAATCGGTTTAGGTAGTTTTCCGCGTCCAGGGTCGATTGAGTACACGAAAGCGATGCACTTCAATCCGAAAGCAGCATTAATGGGGGGGCTAGCAAAACGAACACTGATGTCCTTCTCGGGTTTCCGTTGTCCCACAGGGAGACTGGGAAGCCATGAAGACACCTTTTTGGGAGAACGTGGAGTTCTGGCGTTGAGACAAAGAGAAGCCCGCTCAATCCCCCACTGATGTTGCCAGATGGCTCCTTCATTCGACCAATCACAGGTCTCCCCATCGTTGAAGTGGCACACGGCAAGCGGGCTGGCGGGCTCTAGCGAGAATGAGGGAAATAGAGAAAAGAACTGTTCCGCTCTTTCAATCTCATGCTCTCCGTTTTGAATGGCGTTTCCTGCACCTCTTTGAATAATAAAAACCTACCAGTTCAGCAAATCGGACACACTGAGTAATGTCAGTATGACCTCACAAATGCTAAGGCTTGAGAAATCAGTGGACAATTTCAAAGAGGCCCCACGTTAGGGACTTATTTACCCAATACTACTCTGCCGTCGACAAGAATGTTGTAAATCGAACCTGACTTCAAGGAAACCTCAAAAAAAGCTACGGATGGAGAAATGCGCGAAAAGGTTTCCCCTCTTGCAGAAGAAGCGACCTAGTACTGTCACATTTGCCTCATTCGACACACAGATGTAAAATAAAAAAAAACTACAAAACATGAGGAGTCTATTCGTGAGTTAAAAAAACTTCGCAAACGAGTTAGGACGGTCACCTAGAAAGGCTCGTATTTTCTTGTAGCCGCTAGAAAAAAGAACCATCGCAATCTTTTGCATCTTTTCAATCAACAAGCAAACAAATGGATGCGCATCGTAATGTATTGTCTACCGATATTATTAGGTGTCTGGTTCGTTCAGACGTCTGTAAGCACGAAAGTTGAAGTCGGACGACGCACGAGAGGCGTGAGGACAGACGTGTAGAGATGAAGTGTAAAAAATGAAAGTGAAGCAAAGAAATGCGGCGACCGCTTCCCATCGTCTGCACACAAACTGAACAACTGACAAGTCAACAAAACACCAGTGAAAGATCTGGAAACCGCAATTTCGGGCTGACTCATCTGAGTCGAATGACGACAACATGAGTAGGCCGGCTACACCTAGTCACGTCGAGCTTCTGCTGCTTGTCAAATAAATAGGGCGATTCGGATGCTGGAATGTCCACTCGACAGTTATCGAGGTTCCTGGATTGCCAAGACGTCCGATTCGCGAACTCGAGGCAAGAAGATAATCAAAAGCTGACGAGTAAAATCGGGCATAAACAAACACAGATAATCACCCTTCTTTTCGTGTAAGCAGGGTTAAGCTTGGTTCGCCCCTAACCGGCCCCACACGTCTCCCCAGGTGGATAAAGTAAGTAAGAGAGAGGCATCGAAGACCGAGAGAGGAGGGCACATTGGGACTCCAAACACGAGCTTGAATGGGAGTTTGGGGGGCTTTAGAGTTTGTGATTTTGACATCGTCTGCGAACCAGGAGGCCCCTTGGTCTACTGGCTGCGGCGCCTTTGTGGACAGGCAGAGGGTGGGCCAGTGCGCGTCTGGAAGTGACGGCTGACGAGAAGAGACCAGAAACCAACGGGTGTGCCAATTGGCTTGATCGTTGGTCCACCCACACATTCCCTTGTCAAAACTGCACTCCGCCCTGGGGCGTATGGTTCCGGCTACGGGAAGGGGTTAAACGGGCCTGCATAAGATAAACTAGCTCACGATCGAACTACCGAACAAATTGACCCAGAAAGAACACAACACTGACCTTACATAATTTCTAAAATATCATCGAAAATGTATGCGAGTATCCCAGAAGGTGCCTATTGGAGCTAAGGATGGTTGCATGGAGGCTGGAAAATAACACAAGCATGCTTCATAAAAGTAAAAAAAGCAGGGAATGGTAAAATCAATGGTTTTGACGAGCACGATGGGTTGGAATTTTGTTAGGACTTGGAGAAAACAAATCTGGAAGTCGAGACAAAAGTAAGCCTGTCCAACAAGATGCTCGACAAAATCAATAAGCTTTGAAAAATGACGGAGAAAGTAAACCTTCACGATAATTCAAAAACTCAAATTCAAAGTGGGTCAACGAAAGGGACACTCTTGCAGGCTCTTTTACACCCCCTTCCTTAAATTAATAGGTCGAAATTCCCGAAAAAGCAAAAAAATTGTTGGCGATGACATAAAATGACATAAAGACGATAAAGTCACATCCTCAATTTCGACAACGACACAAAATGCTGGAGCAGATTTTACCGGTTCCCGAATTCGAAACTGTGACAGCTTTCTATTTAACCAAATCCCAATTTGTGGGCTGATAAATCCGAGCATTTGTGGCAGAGAACATCGGGTAGTTTAGAAAAAAACGACTACATTAATAATTTACTAAAGTTGCATTTATAGGTCACATCAGTGGCATTAACATAATTTGTTTAAATGGATTAAAGTAAAAGCAGCTGAGGCGGCTTGGCAAATACAACAATAAAGTAGTCAAATAGCACTTGTTTTTTGGACACAGATTTCGCTACCTCTTTCAAAAATATCCCTGACTAAGGCATTGTCCTTTACAATTTGAAAATACAAGTAACAGAGTATGTATTCAGAACAGAAAAGTTTTACATAATGCCGGTCAGAATCATTGGCATAAATGCACTATGCATTATCACAAAAATCTAGCTTATCAATAATTTGAGTACGTTAATAGTTCCTAGTAAAACGATTTGGAACCCTCCAAATCGTAATAAATAGTTTTCAGTGGTTTCATCATCGACTTTCAATGACGACGATGTAATAGCGCGTATAAATACTGACAAATGAATTGCATTCAGTTTGGTGGAAGCATTCATGATCTATAACCAAAGAAGAACAACTGATGTGATCATTGTCTGAAGCAGTAATGCGATCAACTTGCTGAGATCACAAATCACATCTTTTATGCGACGGGGAAGCAGGATGTTTAGAAAGAACAAACGGTACGTTGACGAGCAATATTTTCAAATTAGAGATGATCAGTACCGCTCATTTCGAAGTCGCATTCACTGACCTAATCGATTTTACTCCTATGAGCATTTTTGTGTACCTAACAATTAAAACTAGCCATTTCTGCGGAATTATTCAGTTCTGGAAGATTAGAAACCGACTATTATTAAAAGAGGAGACGATACTGTGTCCAAAAAACTTAGTTAATATCAACAAATAAAAGAATATTTAATTGTGATTTACCTGAAGCAGAAGCCACATTCGCAAACACCATAACACACAGAATAGACACGATCTAAAACGAAAAAAATTAGGTTGCAGAACACTAAGTAAGTGAACACGACAAGCGGTTCAATAAAGATAAGTTACAAAATAGAAAAGCTAAAATAGTGGCATAAACAAAAACCTTTAGTCGAGGCAATAGTAAAGTCAAAAAAGACAGAAAAGTGACTTGATTATAGCATCAGGGACAAAGGGACGTAGTTTAATGACGAAATTGAAAGCAACTTCAGATAACTCGAAAAAGAAGCTGAAAGTGAATCCCTTCAAAAAAATATCAAGTAACACTCTGATAACTGCTTATTTGACCACACGGCTTTACACGTAGGAGATAAGAAATGCTTCATATTACTGTATGTACACATGTGCAGGAATTACACTTTAAAATCAGTGGTAACAAATGACTTTAATTTAGACATGTAATAAGGACAAGAGAATCAAGAGGTAAGTCTAGATGCATTAAGTTTCTTTTTAAAAAGCCAAGGTAGAAATTAGCAACCTTATAGACATTATTTACGTAATATCTCTCAGTTGATTCTTATCTCAAGAAAAACCAATTTTGTTTATAGCAATGTTTGACACACAAAACAGACTAGAATAATTTGGCTAATGAAAATAGATATTCTTATCATCATTACAGTTATATTACACATGTTTTTTGTATACTCTTACACTGAAGTCGTGGATCGGAAAGTTTGACATAATATGAAACCAACTATAATGAAAAATGTAAACAAAAGAAATTCATCAACGCGCAATAAAATGCTACTTCAGGAACGAAAAAGCCTTCGACACTAAAAACCCAAACTACGATGTGGATACGGAACTTTAAAATACTTAAAAAATGTAAAATAGCCCCCGTCTACTTTAAAAAGTGCAGTGAATTCAAGCCAAATTTTCACCACTTCAGGTAATGAGCAGGTATCTTCAGGACAGGAAACTGCAGAAACCAGAACACAATATTAATGTTATAGGAATTGAAGTGACCACATATATGTTACTTACGTTAATCATGTTTCTCCAGTAAGCCTGATCAAAACCCACAAAAGTCAGGAATCTAGAACACGCGGTGCCTTCCCGAGATCTACCAAACAAAGCATTCAAGGTTAACAACAAAAGCCTAATACAAAAAAATTGCCAAAAAGTCACGTTTCCTTAATTTTTACAAAAATTACAATTAATCATTGATTTACAGTTATTTCTCGACCTTCTTTTTATTATTTAATTTTGTAATCCTGCTTATAAGCAAGTAAATTTTATCGCAATCTAAGATACATTTAAACCTTTGACAGCAACTCAAAATTATAAAACTTGTCAAAATGTAACCGTTTATTACACTTCTACGTCCAAAAAAATACATTTTTCTCCAAAATTTTCAAATACATAGTAGGAAACATTACAGCATCAATCGAAAATATGCTTTAAATAACTCACGAAAAAATTATTAATTTAATATCCGTAATAAATAGCAGCATTATGCATTATTGCAGAAAGCTAAATGCATGGAATGTATGGTTAATCGAACTTATTATGACAAATTGAGTTAAGTGGTAAGTAACCAATTAAAGTTCGTACGAAATCGATATTTCCTTTAAAATATTAAAATGCACTCGTTTACTTTTAATTTTTTTTAAATTAAAGCTCTATATAGGCGAATTAATTTAGCCACAGGTAAAGGAAAACTTGAGTTTCGACAAAAAAATATTTTGTGTTATCTTGATTGTTTAGTATCAAATGGAAATCCTTATTGCGTTAACTGTAATCGATACCACTAGGGTTATTATTACAAAAAAACTTTGCATAAATCCATAATACCAGACCTAAAAGGTTTAAATCGAAAAACTTACAAGGTTGTCTGATATTTGTGAATATGATGTATAACTGGAAAGCTGTTTTAAAATAGCGGTCAAGATAAATATCGTATTATTTCAAAATCTATAATTCGCCTATAAATGCACATTTCTAACAATGTAAAGTGGAAACTCTCAGAGATAGAGCTTCTCTCAAAATAAAAATGTAGATTTAAGAAAGCGCGCAAAAAATTAATCTATTTTAATCCTAGAAGCAAAACATCCTAAATTATGATTTCCGGTGCATCATGTATAAATTAGCATAGGTCTTAAATTTTTTAAAATCTTAAAATTGAAGAAAAACTCTAAATACGCAAACTTATTGCTGACTATCTAATATTAAGTGGAAACCTTAGTATTTTTGAACTAATATTAATTAATCAGGTAGCGTTAGTGGTAATTAAACTTTCTTGACAAAACCAAAACAACCCTGTTGTAATACACAATTTTATTTCTAATCCAAATTCATGGTTTTATTAGTTTTATTCGCATTTAATTTGTATTTGCAGGAACGAGTCATTTGTTTGCTATGTGTTCAATTAATTCCAAGTCAATTTAAATAGCAAGCATTTTTACTTTTTATTAGCAATTTTTTTGTAATGTGAGAAAAAAAATTGTAGTTTGCTATAAACATTTTGGTTTTGTTTTACTTTATGAATTTTGACTTTGATAATTTAAATTCATATTAGAACCCATTAGTCTGGTCGTTCATCTGCTTGCCGCATGCGTCTGTCTTTAAGCTGTGTCCTCGAACATGGCATTATTAATTCAGCCTGTTGTTTAATTCATATTTTGTAGACTGGTAGTTTAACGGTTAAGTGTGGACAATATTTTGTTTTTCATTGTTTCGATGTCATAGGTGAGGTTATAAAATTCTTCCCTTAGAAATCCTCTCGCCTTTCTGTTTTCAACGGTTGTCTGTCTATGTAGAATACTATGATGAAATTAAGGTCTGATACCACTAACTTTGCTCATGCGCCTAAAAACCTCTTCATTTTTGAAATACGAATTTTGGACATTACTTTCTGTGTTACTGTCGTTTATTTAACGTAATTGCTTGTTCAAATCTGCCCACCACTTTGTCATTTTTCTCGTATGCGTTGGTTTTCTGCCTTATAATCCATCTGACACATTTCGCCAAGTTTTGGATTTGCTAGTAGTGGATACTTTTCCAAACATCGCTACCCGAATCGCTTGCAAAAATCTTAAAATTCTTACTGTGTCAACGAAATCCGATTCGCAGGTTATTTGCTTGAATTGAACTGTCTGCTGTATTCTTGCGCTTGTTTCTGTTAGTGAAAATTCCTTGGACGTTTGCTATTGATGACGTATTTGCAAATGTCCCCTGAACCTTTGGTTTGTTTTGTATTCAAGATTGGATTGCATCGCTTTATAGTGTGTAGTTTACATTAATTCAAAATGACGCCTCTTGATCAGTTCTGTCGGTTCTAACAATTTTTTGGGTATTTGGTCGCAAAGGACAATTTTTTTAAATCTTGGAGGGCCCATGGTTATTCTTAG